TTTTTATGTCCTGAGTGCTTTCAGTTGGTCCTGAGCGGTTTTTAGACGTACCGATTAATAATAATCTATTCTGAATCATGAAAATGATTTTTGAAATCAACATTTAAGTTTGTTACTAAAATAAAAGAAAAGGTAAATGCATTTACAAATAGATGTTATAAGATATATACTCCTTCATTTTTTCTGTAATTTTTAGGCCATTTTTCTCTATTCTTAATACTTATTGTCCATTATTCTCAATTTTTTATATTTTAGCAACTCATTATTCTCTATTCTTTATTTTTTTCGTCCATATTTCTCTACTCTTTATATTTTTTGCCCATCATTCTTATTCTGTAAACTCCCATTTACACCCTCCTCTATCCAATGGTATACTATTTATAGTTTTAACACTGCCCCGTCACGATCTTAGTGCAGTTTCTGAAGATAAGTGCACTCAGAGACATGTCCCTAGTGCACTGATGCGGCTTTGGTGTTTCGACGCACCACTCTACGAAGTAAAAGCTAAAAAATAGACGCTTGTCCAAGTTTTAAAAAAATAACTCGCACGGCAATGATTATTAAATGCCACGAAGTCATTATAAAGTTAAAGAGGAAAGCATCGAAAGATAACGAAATTAACGAAATGAATTATCTAACATAAAACATACTTGTATCCGGCGTTGATTGTCCCTGATGAAATTAAATCCAGAAAAGTGCTTTGGACGCATGAAATTTATAAAGTGTTGTTATCGCTTTTTTGTTGTTGTTACGTTTAAAATTTGCAAAGACTTCTTTTCAAAGACGAAAAACAATTACCATACACATTTTATTCAGGATAAGGACTCATTTTTTACCGGATTAACGCCATTTTGAATTTAAGTGTATAACAAAAATGTTTTGTGATTAACAATTGCACGGTAAACAGATTCCTCACATCCACACACTATCCGTTTATTGTAAATAGTTATAAAAGGTATCAGGCTTATAATTTGATACGCCAAACGCGCATTTCGTCTACATGAGACTCATCAGTGACGCTCAGATCAAAATAGTTAGAAAGCCAAACAAGTATAAAGTTGAAGAGCATTGAGGACCCAAAATTCCGAAAAGTTGTGCCAAATACGACTCAGGTAATCTATGTCTGGGATAAGAAAATCCTTAGTATTTCGAATAATACATACTTTTGCAAACAGTAAATTTATAAAAATGACCATATAATTGTTATTCATGTCAACGCCGAAGTGCTGACTACTGGACTTATGATACCCTCCGGGACGATACACCAAACAGCAGTGGCATCGACCCAGTGGTGTAAATAGTTATCAAAGGTACCAGGCTTATAATTTGATACGCCAGACGCTCCTTATAAACGGTAACTTTTACAACCCTTAGTTAAAATACATGTACAAATTCTTTATCATAAAATACACGCGTCAGAAATTATTTAGATAATAAGTAGATAGATACATAAATTAACATAGATTAAAAAAAGAACCAAAAACAGTTATAGACCAATAATTTATTTCATAAACAAAACAAGTTAACAAAACGTTTATATACATTAATTCCCTAATCTCTTAAAAAAAACCAACAGAAATACAAAAATCAACAAACGATTTTATGTTTAATTATTCAAAAGTTACGTTCTAAATTCTAGCATTCATATTATACATTTTTTTGTATTTACTGTGACTTGACTATGTTTGTTACTGTATATTTTTTACCTATAGCTCAACCAGATTTTAAAATTGACAATACAATAGGGACATTTAAATTGACCAGTTGGTATTGTTAGATTTAAATCTACCTTGATTCTACCTGTACAATTTTTTATTTACCTATTCCAACCTTACAGCATGCTTTTTCCCTGAAGTTTTTCTTTACCTAGGATTATTCTTTTTAAAAATTGACAGGGAAGAAAATATTGTTGGTTTTCATTGTTTTAAATCCCCAATATATATGATTTATCTAATTTTTACCTAAAATTCTAAATCAGTAAAAGATTTAATAAATATTTGTTGAAAACTTCTGATTTAATAAAAAAAAATCATTTTCCCATGTTTTTTATTAGAGTCCTTAAACAAGTAAAGGAAATAAACGTTGTCATTACAATCTTTTTATCATTGAAATGAGTGTATTCCTAGAAGTAATTGGTCATACAATTGCCAAAGAAACAATATTTAGAAAGAAATAGAGAGATTTTTTTTATTTTACTGTCATTTAAAATATTAGGAGTGATCAAGCTAAAACAAGAATATATATACATGTATGTTATTTTCTTGCAGGGTATTTAATTGCATGGCCTATAATGCACATCATTTCATCTTAATGTTTTCATAGCCAAATACTAGGAGTGTTTGGTACCCCGAATAATCAAGTCCTTATATTTCACTCACTTCGCTCGCTACTACATTATTTCATTTGTATTGTTGAAAATAAGTTCTTTTTTTTTTTTTATCTCTTTGCCTTTTCTAATGGGAGATAACTCAATATAATTTGCTTTTGCTCTTATGGAAATCTTAATAAATTTATTATTTCCATAATTTGATGAATACTTATTGACATGTTCCTTGTACAAATTGTTTATGCATATTGAAATATCAAAATCATAGTTGAATAAACAATTTTATTTATTTATTGACACTGATATTTGACATCTCATCCAGAATTCCAAAGATTTTAAATATTTTCTAAATTTTATTAACTTTTTGGATTTTTTCTCACTTTTTTCACTATGTCACTAGATTTTTTTCCATGTCCATAGTATATTCTGTTTAATTTCCCATGATATACATTCCAATTAAACAGGTGCAGAATCTTTATATAATTCAGAATCTTGTAATTTTTTGATCATTTCCATTATTATATTCAAAATAGTTATCCTCACTTTACAAATATTTTGTAATATTTTATTCATATTTTTACTATATCACTTGATTTAACTATATCCACAGTATACACTTTTATTTCATTTCCTATGATATATGTCCAATTTAAACAATATTTGATCCAGAATTTTATAATGATTATTTCCAATTTCACATTCACTTAAAACATATCCTCACGTTAGGAATATTTTGGAATATTTTACTTTTATTTTTCACTTTATCACTAGATTAGACTATATCCACTGCATTAATTCAACATTTCATTTCATTTCCAAGATCCCATTTAAATGGTGAATCATCTTTTTAATAGATCCCAAAATTAATAATGAATGTTTTCAAAATCACATTTAAAGCCGCAGAAACATGTTGGTTGAACTCACACTATATCTCCTACTTGAATTCCAGTTTTGAAATTTTTTAATCTTTAACATAACTAAATCCCATCTTATGAAAATTGAATTTCCTTGAGTGAACACAGCATTTTATGCACAAAAGTCCTACTAATATTATAGTAGATTTCAAAGAAAAAACACTGAAAGGTATACTCCAAAATTATTTCGAATTTTACATGTACATCATCATATGTAAGCCCCACAAAACAGTTTGAATGAATTATTTCCTCCTTGATACCTTCATGACAATAAATTCTTGGAAAAAACAAGTCACATTTTAAGAAGCAAAATTACTATAAAAAGTCTGAGAAGTGAATTCAAATAATATAAATCCAATATTGTATGCACAATGATACCAATAGATTTCAAACATTGCAAATAATAATCCAAAATAGAAATCTTGAAGGGTCATGTGAAGAAATGAACAACATATCCATCTGAAAATTTAAACTGTAAACACCTGAACAGCTATTTCTTGTTTCACTGGCAGCTGGAAAATACTATGTATAAGGGTTAAAATTTTAAAGAAGCATTCATTATGTAAAACAGTTAAATTTTCAAACACATTAACACGTAGTTAATTTAATCTTTTACTGATTTAGAATTTTAGGTAAAAATTAGATAAATCATATATATTGGGGATTTAAAACAATAAAAAACAAAAATATTTTCTTCCCTATCAATTTTTGAATAGAATAATCCTAGGTAATGAAAAACTTCAGGAAAAAGCATGCTGTAAGGTTGGAATAGGTAAATAAAAAACTGTACAGGTAGCATCAAGGTAGATTTAAATCTAACAATACTAACTGGTCAATTTAAATGTCCCTATTGTCAATTTTAAAATCAGGTTGAGCTATAGGTAAAGTTTTACAGTAACACCCATAGTCAAGTCTGTAAAATGTATCATCAACCTGAAGGGGCGTAACTCCTAGTATCATACTGACACACTGAACGGATCTTAACCCGATCTGAAAAATTTAAACGTTTTTATTTTATGATTGGTCTTAACCGTCTTAACAGATCTTAATCGAACGCTAGAGCCTTCTGTCTTGTTTATCTTGACATGACTGAACGGACTGATCACTATTGATCGGAACAGCGTCTGAAAGTCTGAAAAAGTCATAACGTTTTTCCCTTGCGGTAAATTCTGTCGATTAAGACCAAGTCAAGAATATGACAGTTGTTTTCCATTCGTTTGGTGTGTTTGAACTTTTGATTTTGACTTTTGATAAAGGACTTTCCGTTTTGAAATTTCCTTGGAGTTCGGTATTTTTTGTTATTTTACTCTTTATCTGCAAAAGCAGAATTTGAAATACTTGTTATCATACAAAGGTTGTAGAGCAGACAAAAATGGAAAGAACCAACTCAAAACCTCAAACCAGGCGAGAAATCATAGCGATTTGTTTTATTTATATTCATAAAGTATTTGCAACATTTTGATCGGTCACTCAAACTGCAGTTGTTGGTAACTCAGTGTGTGTTACAATAAATCGTCTGAAACATGATGGTGTACAGGATATAATATATAAATATATATCCTGCTTGATCTTATACTGTTAAATAATTCGAAATTTTGTAAGCCTTTCAATTTGAGAATCATGATTAATTTTGGTTTGAATAAGCTTCCCAACAAATTTAATACATATCTTACAATGCAGTTATATTATGTCAATTGGGATTACATGTTATTGTCTTAAATTTCGAGTTAATATATTCAATGTCAATCAATAAGACATACCTGCTGTTAAAAGAGAGGATCCATTTTCGTTTAAACTTGATCTGTATTGACGAAGATTTGCTTGACTTTCCAGGAATTGCTGCTAACAAAATGGTATAAAAATTTACAATGGTTGAGCATCTTATTTGTTTTTCCCGACGTGAATGAGTTTTATTAAATTTTTCAATCATTGAGACGTTGCGCACGGTATTGGTACCACTGAGCGTTACACGACGTTCCAAAATAAAACGAGGATGTTGACGTTGTTCCAAAGAACGTTTTAAGCGTACGAGTTTATATGGTAATGCCGCTTAAAGGGACCATAGAATTTACATTTTTCTAATAAGTATACATTTTGCAAAGATTTTCGAATTTGCTATATTATATTTTTTCATTTTTCAAAGCGGAGAATTGCATTAATAAATACAAACATTTGTTTCCATTTTTCGGAATAGATTTAAAAAAAATATCTAAAACACACGTTTTTGTGTCAATCTGAAGCTTTAAACTTATTTTGAACCTATGAGTGAAACAAATGCAGGAAAAACGTACACTACTACCTCTTTACTTTAAGGACGGACGTGCTTCCAACATATCCGGGCAAAATGAATCACGGTCTTCATTTATAACCTTCGATGTCTTCCTTTCCTAGTTTTTTTTTTACTATTTGTGTATCATCAGTTTCTTTTTTTCTTAGATTTAGCAATTTGATCTCTTTGCTGTAAAACATCTTCAATATTGGTTGTGATATAATAAATATGTGTTTCTTGTTTCTGTCTCTTCCCTCCTATAATACGTTTCTTTTTGTTTGTTGTTATTTGGTAATTTCTCTCCCTCAATTTGTCTTTTTTCAATTAACGTTAAGTTTCTTAATTTGATTATTTGAAAGATGTTCATAGACGATAGCCTGATATTTTCTTTTCATAATCAAAGCCAGAGCCTCCTGCGGATTTACGGGGGAGGGGGTGTGTCAATGTGCCCGGGCCACCCCTTATGGAGCTACATTTATGATTAATGCAGACTTTTTACCTGTTTTACACCAGAAGTTCTCTAGTTTCGGGACCTCAAGGCCCCTTCTTTTTCAAAATCCTGGATCCGCATCTGTTATTTATCAACACGTTATCAATAAGATGTCCATTGTACAATTTTTTTCATAAAAAGTGGCATGACCGAATGGCATTATGCATATTTCATATATTTTATCGGGGTTAACTCGAACAAATAATTATCATCATATACTAGTATGTATTATCTCAGGTCCTGAATCTTAACATCAACTACGACTTTGAGGAAATTTAAAAAAATTTTTTTTGATAAATCCCTAACGAAAATTTTTATAAAAAATGCATAAAGTTTGAAATAAAAATACGTGTTCCTATGCTGCCATTGTCAACTTTCAATATCTTAAGGTAGATTGGGTTCTAAATTAATTGTTTATTGCAGATAGCTGATAGATTTTTACTATAATTATTATTAGCAAATTTGATACACAAATGAAATAAATTTGTGAGCTTTTCATTTCAATTAAAAAAAAATGATAATGAGTTTGGTTACATCTTTTTTTCATTTAAAAAGAAAATGTTTTCAAATGATTAGAATTTTTAAATCATGATTGGTTTATCTGACAAATAATTCAAAAATTTATTTTATAGAGAAAATAGTTTACCTATTTTGTGATTTAGTAAGAAAACGAAAACGGGGATTCCGTTTTTTTTTTTTTTTTTTTGCTTTCGGAAAACACATTATAGGAGCTATTTTCTCATATATATATTAAATATATTATTTAAAACTCTATCGTATAATTTCTTTTCATATTTTATGCACATAAATATACCTTTTCCATGTATAATCCTTACAAAATCTGATAATTTCACAAACTTAAGCTTTCAAACAGGTTTGCGATCAATATATTTTAATATGTTTTTGACATTATAGCATTTTGGAAAAGTATGGAAAACTCTACCCCTTTTTATATAGACCAAAATTTACCTTACAACTATTTAATTAACAACAGGCCGAAATCCGATTTAAAAGAATACCTATTGTTTTGTGAATAGATATATACTTTTTAAGTTACTGATTTCGTAAATGTACATGGATCATTTTTTTGTCTTGAAGGAAGAACTATGGACCAGGAAGGTACGTTTATACTTTAAATCATTTTTGTTTTCGCGCTTCCAATTAAAAAAAAAAAAATAATCGGGTATCGGCTTACACTAAATTTTCTATGACATTTTTAGCCCGTTTTTAAACAGGTTATTTTCGGGTCTTCGGTTTCAGCGTTTTTGATTTTGTGTTATCAAGTATAAAAGTCAATATTTCAGTCATGTTTCGTGACGTTCTGCGAAGATAAAATGAAAAATCTATTATACATTAAAATTGAATATTTCCACTCAGCAAATTGGTTGATTGATTTTTTTTTGGTTGTTAACGCCACATTTAGCACTATTGGATATTTCGTGTCGGTCAGTTTAAATTGGTGGAGGAAGCCGGAGTTCTGGGAGAGAACCATCGAACCCACAAAGGAGATATTTTGTGGTTGATTTTGTGGTAAAAAAGTGCAAAATATGATGTCAATTTATTATACATACTGTGTGTTCAATATAGTATATTTATTACTTTTTGCTATCTCGAACTTTTTCTATCGATTGGTAATACATGCAAAGAATATTGAACTTCCAGTTTAATATACGCTTTATAAGATATGGACTGAATGTATTTTCGAAAGATAAGGTGTAGAGTGCATGGTGACTTTTTTTTTTAAAACGGAGCTAAAACTAGGTTAAAAGGTACTTCGGTGTTTCTGTCAATTGATACACAGCAGCCTGCCAAATGTTTGTGCGCAATTCATCATATTTGTCGAACGGACAACTATTACCGTAACACATATATTTGCTTTTCTCTCTCTCAAGTTAATGTAAAAGAAAAGTTTCAAGTAAAATTTTTAATCTCGTCGAATCGCATGCCTATGTAGCGGGCAATTCCGTTGGAGATTCGAGACAACAAACTCCATTCTTCTAGAAGTAATAACCTTGTTTTTCATAGTAAACAGTAAAATCCAGCGACTCATTTTACAAATAATTTTATGAGACTGTGGCAATATGTAAACTTGTCTCGCTTTTATGGCCCCGAAGCACGGTTATCGTACTCAGACTGATAAATCAACCAACCAAATACAGAATGTGATGTTCCGAGCACAAAATGTGTACTCCGATTTAAGTTTTATGATCGAGTGCCCTGGTCTTTATCACTGAGTATCCGAGTTATATAATACGTCATCTTAAATTATTTATACAATGCAGATCTTCTTAGTAGCATATAAACAAGAACTTTATTTAATATAGATCAGACTACTTTATGAAATTAATTGTATGTCAATTATGCAAGAAAAGTCATGTACAGTTTAGCGTTATCATTACGCGAACGTCAAATTACAGTTATGGGGACATGTCATTGGACATCTTAGATCGTTTCGCATTTTCTACTTGCAACTCAAACAAAATTATATATCATATCATTTTGGTGAAAATTAAATCTATTTTCTATTTATATCAGTTTAAAGGTGCTAAAAATTGGAGATCAATAAAATTTTGTTCAAAAAACAGCCTCCGAATTATGTTATGTGTCATATTGTCCAACGGAACATTTTATTGGATACGGAAAGACTGACGAAGTTTTTAAAGTAAGACCGCATTTATATATTGATGACTTCAAATACGTTCTTTAGGACATGTGTATATTTTCTGATATCATAAAAAGCCACTTACATAGGAGCTGAGCAGCTATATGGGACATTTTTTCTCTTCCTTATCTCGGCGCTTCTGACAATCTTCTTTCCCTCACAGGTAAAATCGTCTATGACATTTTTCGTCAATAGTATACAACCCTGTTGTAAAATTTTGTCACATTTAAATTACTAACTAATCCGCACTGTGATTTCAAAGACCAACATAAAACAAAATTGTAACAGCGGGACACCCTTTAAATGACGTTATGGGCATCGAAATAAACAAAAATGTTTTTACATGTTATTTCCTTTCGAATGATATGCAGAACATGGCTATTTATTGTGGAGGAAAAGAGCTTGAATTGGAATAACCCTTTATCTGTCGCATTTTTTGAGACACCAATACCGTGCGGAACATCAGTATTCTTTGTACCAAGTAAAAAGTAAAATCACAAAAATACTGAACAAAAATATATTGCTTGGTCGTCAAGACTAAACATCTTTCTATAGTTTTTTTTATCACCATTCTTTCTATAGTAGAACAAAATAAAATAACAAAAAAATACAAAAAAAAAACTCCAAGGAAAATTCAAAAAGGAAAGTCCCTAATCAAATGGCAAAATCAAAAGCTCAAAGACATTAAACGAATGGATAACAACTGTCATATTCCTGACTTGGTACAGGCATTTTCTTATGTAGAAAATGGTGGATTAAACCTGGTTTTTAAGCTAGCCAAACCTCTCACTTATAAGAAATACAATAGTTGTTTACCATTCCTGCCGTTGGTTCAAATCGTCGAGAATTTGATTTTGTCAGGTCAAATAGACTTCGGCCTTTTTGAGTTTACCTTTGAAGTCGGTAATACGCTTTCTATAAATCAAAGTATAGTTCTGAATTTCCCAATTCTGTTACAATGCATTGATATATTTGTACGCATTATATTCAAATATTCTGCTGGTGACAGGGTTGATGATTTTGGCATTTAGATTAAGTCTGTATTGTCGACTTTACGGATATTTTCCTGTATTGTAAGATAAATTAAACTTTTTGTAAAATTAACAATGATTTAGTGTGTTATTTTTTTATTTTTTATTTTATTTTATTTTTTGAGACATTGATTTGTCTATTTTAATAAAAGTTTTTCAAACCTTTCAATTTATTACTAAAAGACAACATATAGCTGCCCGATTGGTATTACTTTTGTTTGTCTGCAATATAATGTTTGCATATTTTCAATGGAAATACCTGTTGGTGACTGTAAAACATTATTTGGTATTGATGTCGTAGTTCTTTATCATAACTCTTAATATCATATTCAGTGGTATATAATTGATGTAAGCACTCATTGAAATGTTTGGTATTGAGTGACAGGACATCTTCAATATCTGAAAAGGAAATAAAAAGACAATTTGTTTGTTTTTTTTTTTTTTTGGCTTCGGGAAGTATAAAAACAGATCAGACAGTAATAATGCACCATTTGTACCCGCTGTCTGATGAAATATCAATTCATTAAACTGAACAAATATGTTATCTATCACGAAGTCCAGCCTTTTGATGATCTCATCTTCGGTGTATTTCTTGTTTGAATGACAATCTGGTTCTTCACAGAGACTTTTTATGACCAAAACAACGAATGTATATTCTTTTTTATAGAAACACTATGTATATGTGACAATGTATTCAATCTTTCAGTTCAACATTGGAAAAAAGCTTTAAAAAGCGTATACAAATCAAAGGTATTAATATGACTGCAACAGTATGATGTTTGTGAATGACAATTTTGCAGTAAATCTTTAGAGTTTTTAATAAATGAATACAAATCTGAATGACACCGCAAGTTGCATAGACCCTATGAAAGCCATTTAATACATAAAAAACACGTGACTTTTTAAACTCGCCTTTATTTACAGCCCATCAGGCCATGTTATTACTGGAGATCTAAACATAATTCAGCATGAACATACCGAAAGGTGATATCTCATGGTCCTAAGAACCCCAACACATCAATTGGAACCATATTGGATTCCATTGAGGACTACGACAGCGCATATGCTAAACGATGAAGTTGAACTGGACACTTTGTCAGAGTGGGTCGAAACAATCAGGTCTCTGATAAAACGTCAAATTCATAAGTTGAAAAACTGTGTGAATGATCGACCAAAGTCCGTTTTCAGAGACAAAAAAGCTGTGAAATGTCTATCATCTTTTCGCGATAAATATGTTGTTGTTCCTGCGGACAAAGATTCAAATGATACGGTATGTGTATGTAAATCGTACTACTACGAGTAAAAGAATTAGGAATAAATGAGCATTCAGGTAATCCAACATACAAAAACATATCATTTGGCAGTTGTTATCAAAAAGTTCGTTTCTATGTATGTTTGCGTTTGTTTTTGTTGCACTTCAGTGTTTCTGTTGTTCCGTTGTTTTCCTCTTATAGTTGATGTGTTTCCCTCGGTTTTAGTTTGTGAACCGGATTTGTTTTCTCTCAATCAATTTATGACTTTTGAACAGCGGTATACTAATGTTGCCTATATTTGCCAAGGATAAGATTATGGCGAATCATAAGTCCTTCATGGCTTCCATGGCTTACATTAAACATAAAATCTGAGGACTTACCTTGTTTGTATTGGATACCTAAGATTCACAAAATTCCGTACACACAACGATACATTGCCAGCTCATCTGCATGTTCTAAATGTCCATTAGATTGACAAAAATTTTGTCCGCACTGAAAGAGGTTCTTCAGAAATACTGTGAAACTGTTTACTCGCGTAGTGGTATTAAACACATGTGGATTCTTAGAAACTCTAGAGAACTTCAGGATAATTATAAATTTTGATCTATTTCTGAAAATAATTCTATCAAAACTTTTGATTTTTCAACCCTGTATACCAAAATTCACCATGTGAAATTGAAAAAATCGTCTAAAAGAAATAATCCACAAGGCTTTTTAATATAAAAATGGTAGCATACGCTATAAAGTTATAATTTTGGGATACTATACGGCATATTTTGTTAATATTGAACAGAAAGATTAAACATGCTACGCAGAAGAACAAGTGATCGGTATACTGGAATTTATTATAGACAACATGAACAACATATTTGCTGAATTTGGAGGTAATCTTTTTCAACAAATTGTCGGTATTCCTATGGGAACGAACTGTGCGCCTCTGGTTGCCGACCTCTTCTTATTTTCATATGAATCGGAGTTCCCTTTAGACGATTGTCAAAAACAAAAAGACCATTAATATATCCTCCAGAACAAGAAATTAAAGAAACAACAGACACGGCTTCATGCGCCTTATTTTTAGACTTATAACTCGAATTTGACATAAGCGGTCATCTCACTACCAGAATATATGACAAAAGAGACGATTTCAATTTTTTCAAATTATCAATTTCCCCACCTTAGTAGCAATATAAAAACTTTACTTGCATATTGGATATACATTTCCCTACTCATTCGGTATTCAACAGGTTGCAGCTGCTACTCAGACTTTATAAAACGTAACCAGTGTCTGAGAACGTGTCGTGTATTTTCGAAAAAAGTTCTTTGGAAGATACCAAGACCTTGTTGATTAATATTCCGTAACAACTTCACAAATAATACATGATGGTCTTGAAGTATAGATTCTAGGTACTGACGTTAGAAACAAATATTCTTTTTGGGAATTTTATGTTGTAAAATACACATCTGTTTTGCTTTATACTTGATACTTGTGAAAAAGTAATGGTTTATTGGTTTAATCTTTCACGTAATTGATAGTAGCTATAAATATATCTTATTAATTGTTACATAATATTGACCGGCCACCAAAGCGCACAAGTACTTATTCCTGGTCTGCCAGCGATACCGTCTAAATTCGAATTATAGAAGTGAACTTCATTTTTGTAATAATTATGAAATATGTAAAGAAGTTAGTTGGAAGTTATTTTCCATCGATTATGTGACGAAATAACAACGAATTTACTGAAAATTTTTTATTTTCATTATCATTTAGATGCTGGCCAAACAATTCACAATTTTTGAATGCATATATCTGTTCCTTCTATTCAAAATTCCTATATGTAAATACCTTAATTTATAAATGTTCAGATTTGAACAATAATTTCTACAATTAGTAAATTTTTAACATATTTTAAACATTTTGATGTTAACTCAAAATGCAGTTGTTGTTAGCTTAAATTTTGAAAGGATGAATTTTTGAAACATCATGCTTTAATGCATAGCTACCGTTTATTTGAACAATTTGTTTGTAAAACGGTTATCCATTTTGAGTTAAGATATGTTCAATATTTTCCAATTTTGTTCTTTTATTTTAGATCTAAATAAAACAACAAAATCCAACATTACTTAAACATTAACTTTGTTATTCTGTACGTTAACATGTTTTGTTTCATTAAGCTTTTTAAAAAATATAATACACCAGTCACAATGCATACATATTTGCTCAAAGGAATTTATTTTGTATTGTCAGAAGCTTTCATATCTTTTTGATGGTTAATTGAAGACACCAACTGGTTAACATGCTTATTATTACTTTATTCCGACTGTGTCAATATTGTCGTCGTTATTCTAGACTATCATCAAAATCATAAAAACATGTTGTTTGGAATTTGTAATATCGTTAGAAAGTAATTTCTATATACTTTATTTGATCGTATATACTTGTACGTGGTTCACTTGATATACCTGTTGATATATGAACAGCAATTTTCCACAATTGCCAATATTCTATAACTTATTCAGATCTAAAGCCGGATAAAAAATGCATTTCTGCTTTAGCATTATATTTATCAAATATGTTGATTTTGATTTCATAAATTATTCATATGTGCAATTACTCGTGTAAAGCGTCAAGTTTACGTATAACCTGACGATCAGTCAGAAATACCTGTTTGTAAAGGTGTCCTTCCATTTAAGTTCGTATGAGGTCTAAATTGTTGACGACTTCCGAGTCTTTAATTGAACTTTAAATAAAAGCTGATATGGAAATGAAGAATGCATTATCTGCTTAACTTGTTTTAAATTTTTTTTCTGAAATATAATGCCGTAATATATTTTATGTTAGTTTTTATTAAAATCTGGCTTAATATGTCGGTTTCGTATCGCAATGACGTGGTTTCGTCCAAAATATTGATTAAATTTGCCGCTGGACGTTACAGTTATCAATAATTTTCGTCTGAATTGCTATGTCCATTACAATATAGATCAATATAAAATCAATATTTAATCTAATTAAGTGATGTAGTATCATTTAAAATAAATAATTCGCATTGCCACTCAACTTTTGCTTCGCTAAAATGGTGGAAATGTGAAGTTTCGATTTCAAATATAACAATCAAAAATTGATCACGTATTCGCCAAGTGACATTAAAAATTTGTTTATAACACGTGCAATTAGAAGATTCGAAAGTGCTAGAGTGTAGACATGGTTATTGTTGACAGTAAACAATTAAGTAATATAAAACTTATATTCATTTCTTTTAATAAGAATAATAAGTGAATAATCTGAGATAATTCAAAACAAACACATCATTTTTTATACAACAGAAACTTGTATTATAATGTTTTTCTACGTTTCGATATAGAACTACTTTTTTTTGTGTTTGGTGTTTTATTATTCTATTTCTAATTAAACTATCTTTAGCACATTGTCAATTATAGCACAGTAGTTTCAATTGTTAAGGACAAAACAAAAGTGTATTTGTTTGATATGAGGACGAAAAATTGTTTTCCATATTTTTCGGTTTCTATACATGTCTATACAATAAGTCATGCCATTGCATTTAGTCTTTGAATTGTTTCACAGTTTGTCAGAAACTTGTAATAAATTACTTTTAGTTATGGGTTTTGCATTGGTCACTGTTTAAAAACCGTACAATGACCTCCTTTGGTCTCTGGTTGATAGTGTCTCATTAGCCATAGTATAACATTAAAATATAAATGCCAGTTCAGAATGTATAATTTCTTATTTCTTTGTAAAATTAAGAATTAAATATCTGGTGATCCGAATTCCGTTTGGTCGGGTTGTTGTCTCTTTAACGTATTCTCCGTTTCAATTCTCAATTTTATTTATGGTGAACAGTAAGGCTGAGGTTATTTTATCAAGTTCAAAACTATAGGATAAAGAAACTATCTCAACTTATGAAATATTTTCCCAAAGTAATTCTTTTCTTACGAAAATGTTTGAGTAGAAATAAGCACTGATAATGGACTTTTATCATAAGGATGTCACATGGGTAGGAAACAATTGGCATAGGTTTACTGCATAGTGCGATAAAAAAAAAAATAGAAACTTTATCAAAATTTAAAAATAATTTAAAAAAGAAATCTAGAGTTTGAAATATAACGGTGCCTATTTACAATGCATTTGGTCCAAGCAATCTTAATATTATTTTTACGCAGTTAAGATGTTCAGCTACATCACTTAACTTTGATCTGATCCAAATGAATAATGTATAAGATCCATTTGGTCGCTGTGGGTTTTCCCCTTTAAATTTCTAATAACTTCTTCTTTAAATGTCTTTTATTTACAAATTTACGTCACATTTGTAGGAATAGTCTTAGTTGGTTACCGGGTGGCCTTGTTTATGATCTAGAGATTATAACATTTGGTACTATAAATTTGACAAATGAGCAAAATGAATAAATATTTTGAAATGTTTTTGACTATATAAAAAGACCAAATTGTTACTTGTTCAACCATGTGTAGAAGCTGAATGTAGTGTTCCACTCACACACACACACACACATACACACACACATGCATCTATTTGTTTCTTCCTATCTTTCCTTTTTCTATGCTGTTTTTTTAATGTCTCTAAAATAAGAGATCTTTGATTATATTGTGTTATGATAAAATGGGATACTTGCATGCTATGAAATTCTATTGACTAATATTGTATCTTAGGAGAAGACGATCTAAGTTGGACTAACTTGTGTCTAATCCATTTTGTAATATTTTACAAATAGAATATGTTTGAACTAAACTGCATAGTATTAGCGCACTTGAGTTTTGTTGGTCCAAAATGAAAGTACATCGTCATTTTAAGTATCGTAATGAAAAGCAAAATATGCGATATCGAAGTACACTAACAAATGAAATTATGTAATATTATGAAAAACAAGACAATGTAGATAATTATTAAAAGATAAGAAAAAATAATAATCACAAAAAAATATATTTTCCTGGTAGCTTTAAGTCTGTCTTTTTTTTTATTTTTCATGAAACAAATATAGAATAATGTTAACTTAATGAGTTAGAAGACTTCATCTCATGATAAAAATTAGTCTAAGCAGTTTTACTTGGAAATAGTGACTATTGAGCTACATGTATATTAAAAACTACATCTGATTTGACAATTTCCTATAATAAGTTTTATTGGTTGATTTTGATTTTTTTTTATGTTGCCAAGTATTTGAGGTAGCTGTTCCGGACCATATGAGTATTATACTCATTTGGTTATATACGGGCCGGACCATATGAGTATTTAGAACATATAGGTATTTCATCATTATCGTTTTTTGTTGTTGTCCGCAAGCGAAACCACTGTCGTTTTTGGCATGGACTTTTTTTTTTACTTTTTCTTAGTGTTTAGTTATAATTTCTGAAACAAAATTTCTTCTATTCTCAACTTATTTTCAATTAATTATTGTGTACTTTCTCCTATTCATACGATTTATCTTTTGTTGTGAGTTTGTTAACATATGAACAAGAACACATAAAATAACTTAAAACAATTAGAATTTTTTCAGATATTTTAATTTTACAAAGACACCAAAATAAATTAAGAAAAAAAAGAAAAAAAGAGGGTTCAATGACTTAACAGTTCATTTAGATATTTCGTACAAATGTAAGTTAAAATCAATAATGACCATGTGAAAATGATTTTCCTATAATTCTTACTTGTAAGTAAAATTCATTTTAATTCATTTATCATGTAACAATGATTACAATATGATTGAATAAGCAAAAAAATAATCTTTTTTAGAAACTCTAAATTTATGAGACACCTTTTTAACGTTTATAGTATTAATCAACAGGACCATGCGCATATGGTCGAAATACTCATATGATCCGAAACATAGCCATTGTTTCCAATTCATCTTTTTGCTGAAAAAAATTTATTTAAATATATTTTTAGTACTTCCATATGTTATTGTTATATGCAAGTTGTG